CGGGTTTGGGCCTGCTAGTGCCGGAGCTGTTGTTTGTTTGTTTTGTTATACGCACTAGGAAAGAACTGTTGTCCCTATTCCCGTATCTTTGACTGAGAGAACCTTAATTTCAAAATTGTAATAATTCGGAAGGAGGAGGTTTGCATCCTCCCTTCCAAAGGAGGCTCCTGCAGTCCCTAGCAGACACTTGGCTTTCAAACGGAGACAAACTTCTGCCTCATCGTTCTTGAATTCCAGTGCAATAATTTAATGTCTTCATCACATTGAAAATCTATTTGGACAAGTTTCCCAAGCATTTAGAAAGAAATAATTTTTCCAATTTGTGTGACAACTTTTGTTTGTTATTTGTGTTATATAAGTCACAACTGGAGTATAGAAACACTTACATCATTTGTTTGTTCACGTGCACCTCACTGGTAAAGAAGAACGGGTAAGAAAGATGTGATGTAAGAAAGGTGTGATGATTCTCCTGATGTCATATAGCCTCCGCAGATGACGAAAAGCTGATCTAATTAGGCAGTGTAATGGTTCTAGTATTTTGAAGTCCTTTTTTTAAATTATATTCCACGAACCATTTTCAATGCCACAGTATCTGTCTGCAACGTATGTGACTTTTCTCCAACTTAAAAAATAACAATTAAGGTCTTTACCTAGAGCCCAGCACAAAATATTTTTGCCCAAGTGGTGGATTTTTCACAGCTCTTGATCCATCTTGTGAAACGTGGATCCATTGAAACTGTTCTGCAGCCTTGAATAAGGCATCTGAGTTAATGCTCCAGTAATTATATCGTGTAATATTAGAGAGTTGATTTCATAATGCCTTAATTAAGGCATCATGTTATCCGCATGTACTTTTCAGGGACTAAACACTTTAATTTATGTGCCAGATTTGGTAAAAAGATGTCAATTGTTTGTGAAATGCAAATAGAAAATGTTTTCAAGTAGTGCTTTGCTTTTCTCCTCCTCTCTGAAGACACCTGTTATATAACAGAGAATACAATTTTAGTGAGCCTGAAGATTCTTTTCTCTTTTTGGTGCATGTCCCTTTCTCCCATTAATTTTGCATAACAAACAAAAAGTTGCAAGTACTTCTCTGAGACTTAGAGACTGAATTTTACCAACTTGCTTCTTGCGGTGAGTCAATCTGGCTTGTAAGGTGTGACTTCCATAAATGTAACTTATTTGTCAAAAGTCTTCTTTCCTGTATGACCTACTTGCCCTGTAGACCTCTTCCTCAGTTAGGCCTCATACTCTGCTTATTTGTCCACCAACTTTAATCATCATCACTTTCAAGTACTATCTGTCAAGTGAGATTTTGCCCAATTTCCTCCTTGTTTGTATGCATTGCTCCTGAGCTTGGAAGAGGTGATCCTCAAATACCAGGCAGCATTCTTGTGACCCTCTGCCCTCCAGGGCTCTGTCCCAGGTAGGTCCATGAAGAAGCCAAAATGTGCTCTCCTGAGTCCAGAGCAGGGAGCTTGCTGCATGCCCTCCTGGTGCCATGAGGACCTCACCACTGTCCTGTGCAAGGCCATCTTGGATCACTACAATCTCCACCAGCTCCTCCCTGCTGGTGGGCACAAAGTCCAGCATGGCAACTCTTCTTGTTGACTCCTCTATCACTGTGTAAGGAAGCTGTCATTGACGCATTCAAGGAACCCTCTGGGATTACTTGTGCCTCACTGTGTTGTCCCTTACCGTGTTGTCCCATGTTGTCCCAGGTACCGTGGTAGTTAAGGACCAGTGCTCCTGTGTGCCTGTGGAGGGCTTAATCTGCACCATGATAATGGCTGGATGGCCTGTATCAGTTCCCGCCCTATAGTGTCCCCCATCCCTGCCTTCCCATAATCTTGACCCACAAGCTCTTGGTTGGCTCTGCATCCTTCCCCTGGCAGAGTTCCACACACTCCAGCAGGTCATTGACATAGGAGCTATGCCCCACCTTTGCCCCACCTTTGTCTCCTAAAACCTTCCATTCCAACGCTCTGGTCATGGAAGCCACCCCACCACAAGCCATCCCCACCCCATTGGGATGCCAATGATATCACAGTGATGCAGGTGTGCATGTCTCTAGTTCCTCTTGCTTGTTGCCCATATTATGTATTTTTGTGTATAGGCATCTGAACCAGGTGAAGGCCCCAGATAAAATCAGCTCACAGGTTGGAGTGTCTGGAATGCCTTGGCATGCTTCCAGATATCCATTACAGGTATTTGCACTCAAATGGCAGGATTGGGATGGAGAGGTGCCCCATGTCCTTTAACAAATCTGGTTTAAAGCCCCCTTTACCAGTTTGGCAAATCCCTGACCAAAGATGCTCTTCCCCTTTGTCAGATGGACCCTATCAGCCCTGGTAGGCCCGGCTTGCCAAAGCAGGTCCCATGGTCTGAGTGACCCAACTATGGTACCATTGTTCTAACCATTTATTGACCTGCCAAACTCATCTGGCCATTTCAAGCACCTCTCCTTTGACCTGGAGAATTGATGAAAAAAATGGTTGATCTCCAGAGCCCCTTACCATCTATCCCAGGGCTCTCTAATCTGTCTTAATGATTGCCAGCCAGCTGCTGGCTATGTCATCTGTGCCCACAAGAAATACTAATAGTGAATAATAATCCTTGGGTTTAGCTAGGCTTGGCAGCTTCTCAGTAACCTCCTTGATTCAGGCTTGAAAATGGGTCAGATATGCCTCTATGCCCCTTAAAGTAGACTTACCTGCTACTATCACCTGCCACCTTTTCTTGGGTGTTAATTTCTTGATTTGTGGAGAAATGCTCCTGTTATTTCTGGCTGTTCTTCCCATATGCTGGGTGTTGCCTCATTAGTCTGCAGAATTATAAAGTAGTTCTGGGTGGTAATGTCAGCTGTGCGGGAACAGCTGAAAGAACAAAATATCAAAATATCAAAATTATTGTATTTTGGCTATCCCATTTTCTTTCTTTCAGAATCCTTGACTGGCAGTTATGGGAATAATTTTTTCTGACAACCATTATTATTTGAGGTTATTGCTTGCCATCTTATTTGACCATCAAGGAGATGCTGCATATCCCATTTAGGTAACTATTTGCTTTGTTCTTCAAGTTGCTTATTGTAGAAAAATCCACCAACTTCATAAACATGAAAGGCTTATCTGTGGATTTAAAGCAGCCCTCAGCCCTAAAGGGAAGGAACATTCTACTTCCTAGTGGGCTAGGAAGGTGCTCTAGGTTTTTGCCAAGCAGTACTCACTTTCTCAGCTGATTGTATGGTCCATATGCCCAAAACTAAATGAAATATCAAAGCAAGTTGATAGTCTGTGGTATCATGACATGAAAGGTTCACCAGTTCAACAAAATCCTTGTAGGGAAAGAAGAACATAAGTCCTCCAAAGCTAATTATGTAAAAGGTGGAGATTAGCATATTTCAAAATTATGTTCAAGTATTTCCATTCCATTTGTTTTTCCTGTGTTTTGTTTTCATGAATAAATTAATTTTACCATGAGCAATGAAAGGCAGAATCAAAGAATTTCCTTGTTTGGGACTTGAGTTTGTGTGAAAGAAACTGACTGCTTTCTGAAGGTCCAGGATAGAAAGAAAATTCCTGATCAGTCAAGGGTATTGGGTCTGGAGTGGTACCACTAGAATGCAATATACAGCTCTTATAATTTCACTGTTTACACAGTCTTCTTTAACAAGTGCTCATAGATGTAAGCTACTCAAAACTCAATTGGATCCTTTACAATCCTTCCCTAATTTTATGTCTTTTTTTTTTAACAAGGGTTTTTTCTCCTTATTAATTTTAAAAATAATACAGCATTTGCATGGAAAACACAGTAATTTTTATTGAATAAAAAAACTGTTTCTAGTGGACTTTTTGTTGGAAAGACAACTTTCCAGAATTATTTCTCTAGATTCTCTCAATACAGCAGAATGGTGTACTTTGAAAGAAAACATCCAGCCAGTATTCCAATAAAATCTTGAATTTCTTATCATATATATTACAAGGCCTGTTGCTATTCTTTTTCTTCTAATTTTTTGCTTCATAATTTTTTAGCAAGCCCAATTCCATGACTCATTGCATTTAATAACTGCGTTTCCATTACATATATTTCCAACCATTGCATTTCTGTCTTCTCTCCATATTCCTCCTCTTAACAATTTTTTTTTGTACTAAAAGGACTAAAGCAAGAGTTTAGAGTTAAATCTTTTTCCCTACTCCCTTAGGCTGTGAAGCTGAATTAAAGAAACCCTACTAAAAGTAATAATAACCACTCCTAGGAGTGCCATAGTTATATCAGTTGTCAGAATGTCAATGGGAATGTGAGGACTGAACTCGCTGTTGCTGCTATTGAAGGAAAATTAATCCAAAAAACCGGAAAACCATCAACATCAGAAATCCTGTGTCTCAGACCTGAGAGGACCTGATACAGAAAAATCAGTCTTCCTGAGAGAAATACATATTTGCAGTAGCTTAATGGAAATTATTCCTGTCAGGATCAGATTTGAGTACATGTTCACAAAGCGGGTGCAGCATTTCTGGTGCAAACGTACTGGACCCTGCAAGAAAGATGATAACCTCCCCCCCACCCCCAGACAAAACTCCAAAACAAAGAGAGGGAATCGCCTCTTCCAAGCTCTCTGGGATACTGCAAGTGAGCACTGTAACATGGCAGAATTTATGAGTGTGACTAATACAAGGTGACAGCTCAGTTCAGATCTCTCTGCCCGTCTTTAGTGAGACCATTTTAATGAAATGTTTGTTTACTCTTCAAAAGCTGAACTCAGCTTGCAGGGAGTGCCTATTTTGTATTTATCTGAGTCTGATCTGGAAGAGCTAGATATTTAAGTGACTAACAAACCATAGCATTGGTGAGTTGGCCTCTTATGGGAACATCAGCTCAGAAAATAACTGCCCCCTCTTCGCTACAGGCAGCGGATTCCTGCCTTCAGGAGAGCTATAGCTATAGGAGTTCCCAGGGGAATGAACACAGGAAAGGATGAAAAAAGATACTTCAACAGGGATTATTTGTGAACACTGGTGGATGGGCTACTTTCAGCAATTATTATAACAAATTTACACAATGTTGTCACCATTCCCTAAATAATATAACTATTGCAAAATGTTCTTTACAAGAAGTGCTAGAGTACAGTTAAAAGAAAAAAAGGAGTAAGAGTTTTAAGAGAGCAAGAATAATAATGGTGATAGGTAGCTGCATACAACAGCAAATACATTTTTAATTGCATTTAACCAAAAAAGGGAAAAAAGGAAAAAAAGGTTCCAAATAGGATAAGCACATTTCAATACTTGGATGCTAGAAATCTAGGTGAATTTTCTTTCTTTTTATTTTTTCCCCTTGGATTTTGTTCCTAGACAAAATATAAGTGAAGTGAAGATGTGCTGTACTCTGCTTATAAACCCACAGGATCATAAATCAAGGGTCCCAACTAAGACTAAGAGTTAAAAGGAGGGAAAGAAGAAAATCACAGGCTTTAAAAGCACATCTTTTTCCCAAAAGACTGAACAGATGTTAGTCAGCATGGCATCTGAATTTTTTTGGGGCTTTTGCATGGCAAAAAAGAAAGACACACAAAGATTAACTATAGAAAATAGCACTGCATGGGGTACAACTGAATGCCCCCGGCTTTCCACTACATTCACAGCATCACAAACCTTTGCAGCAAGACCATCATTCTCTGATGCAGCCACAGCAACTTTCCAATAACTCTATCTAGATCTGCAACCCTGCACCAGGCTTTCCTCTTCCCTCAGCTGCACCACCATGTGTCTGTTCCTCTGGGGCACAGAAAACCAGTTAGCATGAGCTTGTCCCATGAACCCCAGCTGTCCACAGCAATGAGGAGGTGGTTGGCTTGGTGTCACCTCTCTGTCATCACATGCAGGTTTGTCATTTCTTCCTTGCAACACAGTATTCCAGCACAGCTAGGCTTCTGAATTTTCCCCCCTTAAAATGCTGCAACTCAATGAACATAAATACTAAAGAATATAGTATTTTTCTAAGTTGTCAGCATCCCAAAAGCTGTAACTAACAACAGATCAAGTTCTGCTACTTTCATTAGGAAATAGGCAAATATTTCAATATGGATTAGAGTCCAGATTTAGTAAGAAAAGGGTGTAAAGGCACTGTGATGTTCATTTAATCATTGATGAGTACTCATATAACATTTATGGCAGCCAGTATCAGTGACAGTATATGCAGTAAATATGTCTAATTTTATTGGATTGCTAGGATATAGCAATCTAATAAGAGTATACACACAATTTAAGACATGGTGTTACAGACTTTGTATTAAGTGCTCTGCATGAGAGTTACACATTGTATTGTTAAGTCTCATTAATTTTATCACTATCATTTTATATTACTATGAGTTACAAAATTGAGGATGCATATTTTGTAAATATTTTCTAGTTAAACAGTCTGCTAGCTGGCAACATGACTTTTTAAACCTCTTGTGAGGTGGGGTCCAATATTGGCATTTATTTCAACAGTAGTAAAATGTAATCTTACATGTCCTGGCCTATGCTTTTTTGTCATTTTTCCTTCCTCTGTGAAGAACACTTTCAAAAATTGCTTTTACGCAGTCCTTTTTAATGGATTTTCTTTGCAAGGCTTCTTACGTTGAAACACACCGAGTATACAAGTAGAGATTTACAGATTATGCACAGATACTCTATAAGAATATGATACTCTATAAGACACTCTATAGTCTATAAAGAATATGTCTACATGCTTTTCTGCATCTATATCACAAAAGCATATGGACAGATAATCACAATTTAGATTTCATATAGTCAGATGAAAGAGATTTTTTTTCTTATTTCAGGTTTATTTTTCCTCTCTGCTCTGTGTTTCTGAATAAAAATTTTGTGGAAAGTGTAATATTAATGATTAGGATATTTTTCCCTTATCCCTTGGATGCTGTTTAAAAGCTGTTCTCCCAGCAGCAGCTAGATCTTCTAGCTCAAAAAAAAATACACTTATACTTACTTGGATGGCAACAGTATTCCTATATCACAAAGAAAGATAATGAGACTTTTATAGATAAAACCCAAATTTCACTCAGACAGTGAATTTTTTTGTCAGGCAAAGGTAATATTAATATTTATAGTGAAGTAAATAAGTCTTAAATTTCTGTTACACTGATTTCCAACTCTGAATGTTTCTAAATACATTTCCATAAATGCTTAAAACATTGCAATGATTTTGAGCCCATAAGACCCAGACAGAGAACTGGAAGAAAATTCTATTTGATTTTCACCTTTGTTTGGCAGTTTCACTGAAGAGTGTACTGCATTATGTAGCATTAGATGTCTTTCCAGACAAACACACAGACCTGCATTGTATGCTTAACATTATGCTGCATATTTTATATTAAAAAGATACAATTGATAGCCTATGCCTGCTGTATTTCAACGTTACTATGTGGGATATTTAACTCCATCCTATAATTGAATAATAGCTTCTCACTGTTCCAGTAGCCTTTATTTTTACTTTTTCAGGTAACCTTTCAAAGCCAAAATATTCTGGAGTATCAATTCAGGGGAGAATATGACATGCTGTTGAAAAGAACACTAGTAATTCAGTCAGCGGATACCTACCAGTCATGGTAGATGTAATATGTTTTTGGTCTTCAAAAATGTTTTAACTTTAGCAGTTTTTTGACCTGAACATAAATATTATCCCCATCTAAGCTTTTCTTATTCAATGCAAACCAATTTGTCATAATTTTAAAATTCTCTGTGACAGAAAAAAATTTTAGGCTTATTGTTCACATTTCATTCCATAACCTTCAAAGGTAACATCTTCTGCCGGACTTATGTACTATTTCCGTATAGGCTGGGATTTCTAAAGGGGAACCTGGATAAACACAATGTCATTTACTTATGAAGGCATTTAGAGCCTTCATCTTTCATCCAGTTAGAAAAACATGTGATAAATATGCCACTTTTATCACTCACCATAACACTCCTCATAACACTAATCATCAAGAGGTGCTAAAAAGCAAAATTAGTTTAACCAGCAGGACCTTTGTTCTTATCCAGTCTTAATTTCCTGTC